GTTCGTGCTCGTCTCAATAAAATGAAGCCACCACGGCAGTGAATCATCGGTGTTGAACACTGATGTCACGCTGTCGATGATAATGACGCCCATAGATAATAGCTAATAATGAACTGAATGCAAAAGCGAAAACTAGCACTTGACAGTCCTCGGAAACCCGGTTGGAGAAATAATCATTCGCGCATAGCCACCAAGGCTGCAGTGTATCGACCTGCCGTGCTATCTTCACTGTTGGACGACAACGAAACTGAACAAATGATATATGGTTGGCCTGCACCTGATACAGACATGCTGGTCAACAGTCCTTGATCCGTAGGACGCCTCGCATATAGGTGAACCATAATAATAATAAACACTCTAATAAACACTCGGTAGGTTCACAGCTGGGCAATGTTTCGCTTTTGACAAAAAATCTTCGCCAGACGAAGTGAATAGGTTATCAGGATGATCAAAATTTAAAGCAGACAGAGAACCCGTCAATGACATTTCTCAAATGTAACTAACATCATCAGTTTTAACGGGGGGCTCACCTATAACCCAGCTGAATTACTCGCTTGATATTTTTAAGCAACTGAATGTACTGAATCAGGCCACCCATGATTCAATTCGGACGATACTCGAGATATCGCGGTATATGTATAGACGTAATACACTACTCCTAAGGTTGCTGAAAACTCTTCGACAGCACAGGACCAGCTTTACCTTTCTTATGGCTCATCAGGTAGACGCAGTCCCCGAGTTCTCATCAACCTTATGTTCTACTTGAACTCAAATTGCAAGAAATTAGCGAAATATACTCATTTACGTACCAATTTGGTTTTGACGGAAGACTCACCTGAAACCCAGTTGCGCTGACCTGATGAACAAGGGCGAAGCCGGTCGTGGGCTGTTTTCAACAACTTTATGAGCAGTGTAATACGTCCATACAATTATCACGATATCTTGAACATCGCGCTAACTGAAACATGGGACCGCCTGGTGCAGCACATCCAGTTGCTTAAAAACATAAGAAACATCAGAAAAGAGAGACTCAGCTGGGCTCCGGGTGAGTCTCCTGTCATAACCAGATTGATATGCGAATGAGTGCATTTCGGCAACTTCACCAGTACTTATCGTCACTCGGAAGTTTTTGATGGGTGGTGCTGATGACAGAGGGACTATGGAAGGTTATCATCAAGTTGGATCCATATTTTGAGGCCTGGCTTTTCCGTTCCCGGACATTTAGTTAGCTTTTTTCTATTGAGTGTAGTGCACAGATTTCGTCGGCCTGCTACGGAGTTTTAGGACCATTCGGTTGGGGTTAGGGGATTAAGTGGATTTTGCTCTGCTTGGATTTTGTACTTTCGACTCAAAACAATCCACTAATAACCGCACGTTGCTCGCGTCGTCTCAGCTGATATAAAACCGCCCTCCACAAGGTTGCTAGCTTTACATCCTCTATTCTACTCTGAGATGCTCAAAGATTTCCACCGTCCCAATCACCAGTTGCTGTGGTGTGATTCTTAGTCCTCGTATCAAAACTTCTGAATCTTTCAGAACAATTCTGTATCCAGTGCATGTCCTGCCACTTGTGAGCTTTTATCTATCGCATGATATTCATAGGCGTTACCTGGTCTGTCTATGCACTGCTTGTGCTAACCGATTCTGGTGACAACTCGCTTGGCTGTTCGAACTATGTATATCTTTGTGCGGTCGGTACACCATATTACGTATACACAGTCCCTACTCTTATCAGCCGGGAGACGATCCTTCAGTCGCAAAAATACTGGTTTTTCCCTTCCAGAATGCTAATATAATGTTAACCATATTAAACACCCTTCTACCGACTTAGGTTGTCCCTGTTTCTTATGAGATGACTGCTGTCCCGGCCCACCTTCTTTTGTGTTTTGGCGTTGAGGCTAATACTCGTCTAAGTTGTCGCTTAACTAAAACCAATGGGCATCCGTTGCCTTGAGATAACTTCTTTAAACCTCTTTTCAGTCAACCTCTGTGCACATCACTCTTGCTGGAACTATACACTAGAATGTACTGCCTCCGGAGGTGCTCATGAATAGTTCAAGACCACACCACCAGTTTCGGGCTAATAGTAGTCCTTAATTTCACACCACACTTGTGTATCATGCAGTCAAACAAGAACAGTGCATCCAAAGTGGACTCCATCTTTATGTTAAACTTAATACAAGAATCTAAAGTGTGAAGATATTTATAGAATCTGCTAGCCTCGTGGTGCGTGATCACCTACATAACGCCGCAAAGGCCTCGGTGGACGCTACCTCCAGAGCTTCCGTCTTAGGGATATCGAGCTGACATCAAAGCTAACGGGAAATTCGCCTGGCTCCAACGCACACTCAGCCAAGCTCTCAGACAAATCATATGAATTTTCAATGTGTATGATTTTAAGTTACCTGCAAGAAATCTGGCGAGCCCATAAGGTTGGTAGTCAATGCCACCCAGTATTGTTCTTACGGGGAAATCAACCTTGTGAATTTTAGGTAACCCATAAGGTCGCGGTTAGATTGAACCTTTTGGTCACAGTAGATACGCCTTGTCTTGTTCCAGATGAGCTATCTACGATATTAAATATCTTCCAACTTCAACCTTACTATTATTCATTATCGACGTAATCGTCAAACTGGCAATTTGCCGATAAATCCTATCAGCTAGATGCTGTTCAGAGTTCTGCAAACAGTTTTGATGATGATACTGTCCATGTAGTTTGAGTGGTTTAAGATTCACCGCTGTTAGCGCAATATTTAGAGCTCATAGTCGTTGGTAATTCAGGTTTGTAACCAACTGCACTCCAATGAATAAAGTTGCTGAAACAAGGACTCAACACTATGACTTGTTTCTGCTCTTACAGTGAAACTCAACACTTTCCCTAACAGACATTACTCTTCCTCACTTTAGGGTCGATCTGTTAAATACTACGCTGCAGTAACTGGCAAATGGATTATTTTGAAGCACACCTGAAGGTTTAGTTCCGGAAGAGTTTGGAAAAAATCTGTGGTTCTATAGGTGGTCAACGTTTCGCTCTTGAACAGTTCATCAACAAGATTTAAACAACCGACAACACCTTTTAATTGACATTCAACACTGATCTAGTGTGCCAATCTGAGGAGGTCTGATCTTGCTGTTGATTCTCTGACTGTCTTAAAACTCGGTAGACGCGGTAACCTAACCACTTGCCTGACGAAGCTCTTGTGTCAAAAGTGAAACGTTGTACAGCTGTCAAACCATCGAGAGTTTAGTGAACCCTTCTGAAACGATACTTGAAGGCTGTTGCAACAGGTGCAATGCAGGCATCCTCAAAATCTGGTTTCATTCTTCAATTGACCGCAGATGAGTCGTTTCGAAATGCACTAGGTGACCGTACATTTTTGAAGGCTGTTGCAATAGGTGCAATGAAGCCATCCTCAAAATCTGCTTTCATTCTTCAAGTGACCGCAGGTGAGTGGTTTCGAAATGCACTAGGTGACCGTACATTTTGTGTGGCCCAGTCAGCGTAGCTGGTTATGCATGAGGATCAGTCGATTTCGTTGACTCTGAGAACTTTCCTGTTAAGAATTCGACTTAGCTGTCGAATTTGGGGGAAGCTCTCGCAGACTTTGCAGGGCAACTGCCAAATATTCTGGTGTGCCATCTGCATAGCGTCCATGTTTGGCTGTCATAGTGGGCTGGCATCTGTTTCCAGATTCAATTGTCCACCGAACTACACCGACGAACCTCCGCGAACTAAAGGTAAGGTTGCATGCGGTTTATTCTAGGTCGCGCGTGCAACCAGTTAAGCGCCATGTACCAGGTGTAAATACAACGGAATCAAGCGATGGTGGAACCGGAGGGGGCAGTTCTAAAGCCATCAACATGCTTAATTGATGAACGGCTTTTGTCAAGTAATATAGATACAGCCCAAGAATTAAAATCCAGGGTGACGAGCACTCATTTGACTCACTCGAGGCATACACATGTGGCCACCAGCCAGTTTAGCAAGTACAACGATGGTGGCAGAAGTGAGTCTCAGCACCTCCATAGGCTAAGCGCCTCGGAATTACAATAACGTTAGGGTGGATCGTTGTCAGATCTATACATGAGATGTACATGAAGTTCGGCACCATGGAACATGATACAGTGTAA